GCAGCCGGAGTCCGGTGACTGTTGGCTGGGAGCCCAGCTCTGAAAGCAGCGTCCCACCAGCAGCACCACAGAAGTAAGGATCACATCCTTACTCCTGCACTGCCAGTGGCAGTGGCTCTGCCTTCAGAGCTAGACTCCCGGCCATCAGCCACTGCTTTCTAGCTGCCCAGCTCTGAAGGCAGCGCTGCCGCAAGCAGCAGCACAGAAGTAAGGGTACCAGTACCGCAACCCCCTGCCCCCACAATAGCTTTGTGACCCTCCCCCCCACACACACAACTGCTCTTTGGGTCAGGACCCCTACAATTACAACACCATGGCATTTCAGATTTCAATAGCTGAAATCATGACATTTACTAATTTTATGACCTTGAAATTGACCAAAATGGACCATGAATTTGGTAGGGCCCTATTAATAGGACTACATATATGTGTAAATCAAGCAATATTTTGTCCAAAATATACCTTTTGTATTTGGCATCGTTTTTGGGAAACATGGAATCCTAAACTCAAGACTCAATGAGAAAGTAAAATAAGTGAATTGATTTTTAAACATTTGAAAATGCATTTGTAGTTGATATGTTTGCACCTACAGTATGTTACAATTTGTGATCTTACACAAATATTTGTTTTGTCATTTACAAAAGCTTTGTTAGATAATCCTGGATTCTCAGACAGCAGGGGAAAATCATCAGAGTGTATCTGACTTTAAAAAGATTCACTGAGTGCTCAGCTGTTGTTTTACTCAAATATTCGTTAGGATGCTGATGCACATTTCTATCACCTACTTAAAAAAATATTCCAAATGTTGAATAGTGTTAGTACACTGAATGGTTTCTAGTTCTTGTGAAAATCCACATGTACAATGTAAAGCATAATATATCTACTTACAAATAAGGAAACTCCTTTGACTGCTATAAATGCCATGGAAATCATTATAACATGAGCAAGTAATTTTAAAACTTTAATATTCATTTCTTACTGATAAGATCACCATCATAGCAACATTTGACAGATTATATCATCAAAGGACCTACATTATCTAAGTTCTTTCCCAAAACGACAGCAACACTATGAAGTATTCCTATGGTAGTGGTATTAGCATATGTGCAAACTGTCCCCATTTATTATTTTTATGAAATATTTACCTTTTTTTCATTCTGTTTCTCCAAAATTATATTTTAGTCTCCGGTATTTTATTTAAATCCTACCCTGTTTATCTCTTTGATATGTCCTTATGATTTATTTCATATGTAGAGTACTAATAATTCTGAAATCTCTTCCAGTTTTGACATGGAGATACTTATAGGTTTGTATCAGTCTAATTTGTAGTTTAATTAAAAATAAGAATATAAAATAATGGGCCAAATTCAGCCTTTGCAACTCCAGTGAAGTCAATAGGTTGCATATGAAGTGTAAACCAAGGCAAAATCTGGCCCACTATGTAAACCCATTTACAGTTAAAAAAAACAACCAAACAAAAAAAAACACTTCTTAGTAATGGCCTTGAGATTTTAAAGAAAATATATCTCTTGCAGCCTAGCTAAACAAATTAGACTTCTTCTTTTTTCAAATAATAGGCAAATTTCACTGTCTCTCTATGGATGACATTTTAAAACCAATACTATATGGAAAGATTTTTATTTAGGAAATTATCTTCAGTCTAAATCATTGTGATTTGTAAAGAATAATAATAATAACTGTCAAAATCTTGCTAAACACAAATAGACTGGGAAACCACTTTTTGCTAAATGTTATTCTAAATCTCAAAGCAATCTCTATAAATCTGAAATTCAGAAAGGGCAATGGGATGACCCCTGGATGAAAACCATTTTTTATTCCTTTTAATGAGACAAGTTCAAATTTTGTCCTCGGGATGTAAAGTTTTAATTAAACACTTACACAGTTTAACTACAGCTATCAATTCCCTGCTGCAAACAGCCAACTATTATTGTTCTATCTAGTAATATTTTTTTAGTTCTAGTCTTTCCAGAATATAAGAAACAATGATAGAGAATTGTCTGATTTAAACAAGCTGCTTTATGTTTGGCTAGTGCCCAATTAAATAACCAGGAAAGCAAGCAATTATGAGCTGTTTAAAAGGAAATCTGTGGTTTCCTTATTTAAATTCTTAAGTTTTACTGTCCATCACAAAGGCTATTATTGCAATTAATAATTTAATCACTTCGGTTTATTATATGTTACTGTACTGCAAACATGGATTCAAGGCTGTGAAAGACACTGGCAAGTGTCAGCACTTGTTCCAACCCAACCCAACTATGTCCTAGTATATTCACTTTCACAAACTAAGGAAGCTTTGGAAGGGGGAGAGGGTGTTGCAGGAAGAGAGGTGGGAGATCAGGACACAAAGGCAAAAAATCAGCGAGACACTTTTAAAAGATGAAAGGTCAACACAGATTTGGTGCTGTTGTGGTGTCATTTCATCTGTTTGTCCCTTGGTGGAGTTCTTGAGTCAGTTTCTCCTTTCCCATCAAACTGCTTTACCTGCTTTATATTTTTTCCCTAGAATTGGCTATCATGTTTACTGTATTTAACCTTTCCCTTATATTATTGTGAATATGCCACCTCCTTTCAGTGAAAACCCACCTAAGATTCTGCCTTAAGGTCCTACTTTGTTTTCCGGGCACTGGACCCCCTCCTCCCCTTTTTTAAATTTTTGGTCACTCTTTTCTTCGAGACTGGACTCCATTGCGGATCCTAAATGCTATTTTCCAGTGTGAGACACCGACATTCCCGAACCGCGAAAAAACAAATTGTGCTGGGGGGAGGAGGAGGAGGAGTATAGCCAACTCCAGCGGAGAGTTGGTAGGTACGAAAAATGAAATCGGGCTCCGCCGAGAAATTGAAATAAGCTAACGATTCATTATATTTGCATATTTACCAAAGGACTTTAACTATTCTAATCAACAGATACAATTACAAAATCTGTAAACTACCGAAGAGGGAACCCTAGAGCTGCAGGGGAGAGGAGAGAAAAGCCCGGTGATGGCTTTAAAAGGATTTCCCGTGCATAATAAAGGCTAGAAATGCCAGATGGACGTCCCCACACACAAGCTGCCATCTCGCCAGTATGATCCGATGTTCCCTTTAAAGAAACAAGCTCTCATTTTAGTGCTTTAGTGGGAATCTAGTGCTTCTTTTAGTGTTGGTCGCCAGCATCTTGGGCTATTTTATTAATTGCAGCCCATGACACGTGCGATCCTACTTCCCTAGACCCAACCTCCAAATGTGTCGCGGCGGGGACTCCCTCGCTCACCAGTCTTGGCCAAAGGGGCAAATCTCCACCGTTTGAACTAGCCGGACTTGGTCCCGCTGAGAGTGAAGCGGTGGGGCCCGAACGCTACCGAGCTGGGGTACAAGTCAGGGAGCGGAAGCAAGGGGCTCCGATTTCCCTCTTCCCCTGGGCAAACGGGCAGCACACACAATCTGGACCCGACTTCCTTCCCCTCCCCCCGTAGCCAGGGCACGAGGCCCAAAGGCAGCGCTGCCCATCCACCATGCAGAGCACGTCAGATCCATTTCCCACGCCGGCCGCCCGCGTAGGAGAGAGAAGGGGAGGGGGGCCGTTACCTCTGCTCCGAAAGAGGAACCAGTCCGCTGTGAAGGACGTTGCGCTCCCGAGCAGGCAGGCTTTGCACACTGGGAGACATTGCACGTGCAGAGGGAGGAGAAAGAGACACTGCTTGGGGGAATAAGGCACGTTGTGTGGGTGTGTCTCTGTGTGTGCATGGGGCAGGCTGCACCGGGCAAGAGAAAGAACCCGCTTATTCGTTTGAAACCCAGGCTTCCCCGCAAACCAGATGGCGGGAGCAGTGTGCCCGTGAGACAGGGGAGCTCTGAAGACACGATGGGGGGGGGGGGGGCGCTATGCTGTGCAAATGTTTCCACACACAGGAAGCCGAGTAAAGTTTATGGCGGGGAGGTTAAAAGCTTTTTCGACTCACCCCTCCCACAAGGGAACGCATTAAGTTTTCCGGCTGCGTTTAAAAGCAGGGCGGGAGGCAGCGGCGGATGGAAATGTGTAGCATGTGCCGGGACCAGGGCAATGCAGCGTGCCGCCGGTATTCCGATTGGCACGGCGGGATTAGTGTGGACACGATTCCTCCTCCCGGACAGCGAGGGGGAATTTCGAGACAGTCAAGTTGCTTGGCAAATATAATGGGGATTTCGTATTAATCCCTCTTAACCCTATGCGAAGATGCCGAGCTCCTGGAGCCCCCTCCCGCAGCCCGGACTGCGGCGGTGAGCACTGAGCCTGCGCCAAGCTGGGCTTTCTAGCTGATGCTGCAGATATCAAGCTGAGCGGCTCCCGGCTTCAGCACAGCGGGAGGAGGAGTCCCAGAGCTGGGCCAGCCAGTGAGAGACGCGGGAGCTGTAGCGTCCACCTACACAGGAAAACGACTCCTCTCTAGCCCTGGCACGGCAGGGAGTGGGGAACACTCCGGCAGTCATTCCCCAGCTCACACTCCGCAGATACACATACTGTCCCTGTGTGTGCCTACAGTTCGCACAGGCAAGAGGTGGAAACCTCGCTTTCTCCTCCCCACATGAAATAGACAGCAAGCTAGATTCACTGTGATCATTGGTCTGAATCATCTGAGCACATCCGGCTGCTTTAGCTCAAATGTGCCAACGGCATAAAGAAAGACGTTTGGACATATTTGTCTGCATGTTTTTCTTTAAAAATAAAAACCGGTGGGGTTTGTTCTGAACGTGTGTGCAGGTGAGTGACTGGGAAAGCGGGATCCATTCCTTCGTGCCCTGGTTCGTTCTCTCCCACCAGCCTGAGTCTCTCTCGCTGCTCGATTGCATGCGAATGGAAGGGACAAGTCTGAGAGTCAGACATCAACCAAAAGAGCAGAGGCATGCACATGCCATGGGCCATTAAGTGGCACAAAGTCAAAAGAAGGAGAAAGTGAACTAGGGACGCAAGAATAAGCAAAGTTGTGTCGAGGTCTTTCACATTAAAGTTTATTTCTTACCTGGTAGGTGACACTACGTTTTAGCAATCACTGAAGCAGCAAGTCCCTATTCGGAAATACATCTATTACTTCTTCTTACATGTGTTTATTTGCCTAACCCTCCCCCACCCTTCCCACATACATTCTCTCTTTCTCTGAGGGTCCAATTTTCCCAAGAAACACACAGATGCCGTTGAAAATGGGCATTCAAATCAGTGAAAGACGCACAATAAAGACAAAACCCCCAGCACTGGGGAACAGTCCAGCGAAAGCCTGAGCTCTCTAATGCACTCCCCTTTCCCCCCTGGAGTCTGATCCTGTTACCGTCACTGCAGCTCATCATCTGTCTCAGAGAAGCACCAGCGGACAGAAAAGGTGGGAATCTATGCAAAATGAGTTGTTTGACCAACATGATGCCACAACATGCCGTCACCAGCGCACCCAGGGGCTCTAAAATAAAAGGAAGAACAACAATGTGCTTAACAATAATTGATCACTGAAGAGTCAGAAGGTGGTGGTGGCTTGAGGGGGGAGGAAATCACAGGAGACCATGGGTTAGAGAGAGCAACAGCAGCAGCGCTGTGGTGTGTACCAAGGATGGGCTTGAAGACTGGGCTGGTGTTCTGCGATCAGCAGCTATCCCACTTGCAGCTGCAGAGGGTAAGGCTGGGCTTTCTGGAGTGCAGCGCTTGGCTCGTCCTCCCTCCCTCCCTCTCTCGGCGTGTGTAGCGCAGGCGGCTCTGCTGCTGCAGCGTCAGGGAAGAGCCGCCGAGAGAGGCTCCAGCCGCTCTCACCACTTTGGGCAAACTTGCTGGTTTACTGCTTTTTTTCCGAGTGGGAAGCGGCGCCTCACTCGCCGTTCAACATTTTAAAGCAGAAGCCGCTTTGCTGCGAAAGCGCCTGAACCACACTTCTCTGGAAGGCACAAGATTTCACCCGCCGAGGCGGTGGGGTTCAGAGGAGACAATTGACTGGTATCCTTTTCTTTGCAAAGAGGACTGCATTTTTATAAATCGCACCGCGGCTCTCCTCCCCGCCCCTTTGCCATTCCGCTTATATGGATGTAATTCAGAATCTGTTAATTCACGTGGGGGATCCAGTTACATCTCGTTCCGCTCCGGGTATATTAACGAGAGAGCAAGGCAATAATCGCCTTTGGACACATAGCCTTGTTGCTAACCTTTGAACTGAAAGGATCAAGTTCAGCTCTGGTTACCTGCATTGGGACGGAAAGGAAGAAGAGAGAGAGAGAGAGAGAGAGAGAGAGAGAGAGAGAGAGAGAGAGAGAGACTGCAATCTCATTTGTGAATCGCTCTCACAGTGCTGCAGATCCAGATTGCTATAACACATGCAGTGGAAATGCAGGTAAGGCACACACACAAACTGCGGATGCAAAAACAAACTTGGGACTCTTGTGTGTGTGTATGTGCATTGCTCCAGCTCTGGAAATTTTGGGCAAACGGCTTCTGCAGTTTTTGTAGCGTTGCTTTGTGACTAATGACCTTGCGCAGAGTTGTTAAAAAAAATCCTCTACGGAGAAAGAACTGAACATTTTAGGCGATCTGTGAAGATGGATTTGGGTGCTTTTCTGCTAACCGAAGGGGATTTTCTGTGGACTGCTCTGTGATACAGGGGGTTCTCGCCTACCCACTGTACAGCTACCGGTATTACTGGGATTTTTTTAATTTTTATTTTATTTTGATCAGTTATTTAATTGTATTTTTTGCCCATTGCTAAGAGGATTGGGAGTTTTCCGGACACAACTCCTTTGAATGAGGCGATTCACATTTTTTTCCGTGTGCGTGCAGAGTGGGGAAAGAAAAGAGCTAATGCCTTAGTCGTAAACGGCTGAGAGAGACAGAGGGAGAAGAGTGTGAATTGTACTTAACTCTAGGAGCAAAGAAGGCGACCTGGGGAGGGGGGCTTCGAATAGCGCCGTGCTGCTCCTGCTTTTATTACAAACCTTGCAAAGTGATTACAGTGAGGAGGAGCAGGAAAATCCCGTCCTATCTGTTGAGATGAATCTTTAAAAAGCAAAATACACTGTCCCATCAACTGTAAGCATATTGCAACTGGAAGGAAGGGAGGAGAGGAGCCAACACTAGGGTTTTGATCACCGATTGCACCAGTTATGAGACAATAAGTTTCCCGGAAGAGAAGGATTTTATAATTGATCACCCGCACGCCGAGCATTTCTGTTGGCTTGTCAGGGGAGTTGGTGGGAGAGAGGAGGGGGTTTTTGGTGAGAAGAAGATGAGGAAGATGCGGACTCTCTTTGGCTTTGTGCATTGCTGCTGCTGCTGCTTCTTGCTCCTGCTGCCTCCGCCGCTCTGGGTCAGCCTGGCCGCGGCCAAGCAGCTGCTGAGGTACCGGCTGGCCGAGGAAGGACCTGCCGACATCCGCATAGGCAACGTGGCTTCGGACCTGGGCATCGTGACTGGCTCTGGAGAGGTGACATTCAGCCTGGAGTCGGGCTCCGACTACCTGAAGATCGATAACATGACCGGGGAGCTGAGCACCACAGAGCGGCGCATAGACCGCGAGAAGCTGCCGCAGTGCCAGATGATCTTCGATGAGAACGAGTGCTTCCTGGACTTCGAGGTCTCGGTGATCGGCCCTTCGCAGAGCTGGGTGGACCTCTTCGAGGGCAGGGTCATCATCCTGGACATCAACGACAACACCCCCACCTTCCCCTCGCCCGTCCTCACCCTTACCGTGGAGGAGAACCGGCCCGTAGGGACCCTCTATCTCCTCCCCACCGCCACCGACAGAGACTTCGGCCGCAACGGCATCGAGCGCTACGAGCTGCTGCAAGAGCCCGGCGGGGACGGGGGCAGACGCGGAGGAGGGGGGTCGGCTTCTGCAGCTGAGAGCGCCCTCTACCCCGGCGGCAGTAAGAGGAGGCAGGAGCCGGACGGGGCGGCCCGCAGCAGCGTGTTCGAGCTGCAGGTGGCCGATACCCCTGACGGGGAGAAGCAGCCGCAGCTGATTGTCAAGGGGGCGCTGGACCGAGAGCAGAGGGACTCCTATGAACTGAGCCTGAGGGTGCGGGACGGCGGCGACCCGGCCCGCTCCTCCCAGGCCATCCTGAGGGTGCTGATCACCGACGTGAACGACAACAGCCCCCGCTTTGAGAAGAGCGTCTACGAGGCGGACCTGGCGGAGAACAGCAGCCCCGGGACCCCCATCCTGCAGCTGCGGGCCGCCGACCTGGACGTGGGGGTGAACGGGCAGATCGAGTACGTCTTCGGGGCGGCCACGGAGTCGGTGCGGCGCCTGCTGCGTCTGGACGAGACCTCGGGCTGGCTCAGCGTCTTGCACCGCATCGACCGGGAGGAGGTGAACCAGCTCCGCTTCACCGTCATGGCCCGGGATCGGGGCCAGCCGCCCAAGACCGACAAGGCCACGGTGGTGCTGAACATCCGCGACGAGAACGACAACGTGCCCACCATCGACATCCGCAAGATCGGCCGCATCCCGCTGCGGGACGGGGTGGCCAGCGTGGCCGAGGACGTGCTGGTGGACACCCCCATCGCCCTGGTGCAGGTGTCCGACCGCGACCAGGGCGAGAACGGCGTGGTGACCTGCACGGTGGTAGGGGACGTGCCCTTCCAGCTCAAGCCGGCCAGCGAGGGCGAGGGGGAGCCCCAGAACAAGCGCAAGTACTTCCTGCACACCTCGGCCCCGCTCGACTACGAGGCCGTCCGTGAATACAACGTGGTGATCGTGGCCGTGGACTCGGGCAGCCCCAGCCTGTCCAGCAACAACTCGCTGCTGGTGCGGGTGGCGGACACCAACGACAACCCGCCCGTGTTCGGCCAGGCCGTGCTGGAGGTCTCCTTCCCGGAGAACAACTCGCCCGGGGAGAGGGTGGCCACGGTGGCGGCCACGGACGCGGACAGCGGCAAGAACGCCGAGATCTTCTACTCGCTGGAGCCCTCGCCCCTCTCCTCGGAGGCGCCCGGCGGCATCTTCAGCATCGACCCGGACTCCGGGGACGTGCTGGTGCAGGCGGTGCTGGACCGCGAGCAGCGCGACACCTACGAGTTCCAGGTGACGGCCCGGGACAAGGGGGCGCCGGCCCTGCAGGGCTCCACCACGGTGGTGGTGCGGGTGGCCGACCGCAACGACAACGAGCCGCGCTTCATGCAGGACGTGTTCACCTTCTACGTGAAGGAGAACCTGCAGCCCAACAGCCCCGTGGGCATGGTGACCGTGATGGACTCCGACCGGGGCCGCAACGCCGAGCTCAGCCTCTCCATCCAGCCCGGGGAGCAGGACCAGGCCGCCGGCATCTTCTCCATCGAGAACGACACCGGCACCATCTACTCCACCGTCTCCTTCGACCGGGAGCAGCAGACCAGCTACACCTTCAAGGTCAAGGCGCTGGACGGAGGGGAGCCGCCCCGCTCGGCCACCGCCACAGTCAATCTCTTCGTGATGGACGAGAACGACAACCCGCCCGCCGTCACTTTCCCCAGCAACAGCTCCTACACCGTGCTGCCCCCCTCCAGCAACCTGCGCACCGTGGTGGCCACCGTGCTGGCCACCGACGCGGACACGGGCCTCAACGCCGACCTCAACTTCAGCATCGTCGGGGGCAACCCCTTCAAGCTCTTCGAGATCGACCCGGCCAGCGGCGTGGTGTCCTTGGTAGGCAAGCTGGCCCCCAAGCACTACGGCCTGCACCGCCTGGTGGTGCAGGTGAACGACAGCGGCCAGCCGCCCCAGACCACCACCGCCTTGCTCCACGTCTTCGTCAACGAGAGCCTCTCCAACGCCACCGTGGTGGAGAGCCAGGTGGCCCGCAGCCTGCACACGCCCCTGGCCCAGGACATCGCCGGCGACCCCAGCTACGAGCTGAGCAAGCAGCGGCTCAGCATCGTCATCGGGGTGGTGGCCGGCATCATGACGGTGATCCTGCTCATCCTGGTGGTGGTCATGGCCCGGTACTGCCGTTCCAAGGGCAAGCACGGCTACGAGGCGGGCAAGAAAGACCACGAGGACTTCTTCACCCCGCAGCAGCACGACAAGGCCAAGAAGCCCAAGAAGGACAAGAAAGGCAAGAAGGGCAAGCAGCCCCTCTACAGCAGCATCGTCACCGTGGAGGCCTCCAAGCCCAACGGGCAGCGCTACGACAGCGTCAACGAGAAGCTCTCCGACAGCCCCAGCATGGGCCGATACCGCTCGGTCAACGGCGGCCCGGGCAGCCCGGACCTGGCCAGGCATTACAAATCCAGCTCGCCGCTCCCCACTGTCCAGCTTCACCCGCAGTCCCCCACCGCTGGGAAAAAGCACCAGGCCGTGCAGGAACTGCCCCCGGCCAATACTTTTGTAGGGGCAGGAGACAACATCTCCATTGGATCGGATCACTGCTCCGAGTACAGCTGTCAGGCCAGCAGCAAGTACAGCAAGCAGGTAAGCGTGCTGGGGTCACCCCCTAACTATTTCCAACCGCGCTTCCACACGGCCAGCCCTCCCGACCCCCAGCAAGTAAGTGAGGGAGTTGGGGACCCTCCCAGTTACACACACACAGAGGCAGCCCACTAGCCAGCACCAAGTGTTGTAAGCTAGCGAGAGAGTCAGGGGATCCTCTTGGTACTCTCCCCTACTCCTCCCTGCAGGCAGCCAGTGTAGCCAGCTGCAAGTACAGCTGGTAAGTAGGGAAACCAAAGACACCCCATACCCTCCCTCACCCCATACAGCCTGCCAGCTAACTGGCAGTAAGTAATGAGCAGATAGAGGAGTCGGGGACTCGCCACTAAAATTACTCCTCCTCCTCCCATGCCTCACAAACACAGGAGGCAGCCTGTAGCAAATACAGATTATGAGAGTGAGGGCAGAGGGCCCCCTCCCTCCAAACCAGCAATCGAGTAAATCCCTAGAAGGGAACCTGAGACGTCCTTATCATCCCCCAGCGCACACATCCAGCCAGCAACAAGCACAACGTGGGAGCTGCAGACATTCTCCCCGTCACCACACCGCCTTCAAGCCACAGATAACCAGCCAGTAGTAAGCACAACAAGCAGTTAAGGGAAACGGAGAGATCCCCATTACCCACTGCCACCAACCACCACACTCCACACATACTCAGCCAGCGACCAGAGTCCCCTTGAAACAGGCAGCCATCAGTGTCTTTCTTTCAGAGGGAGGTGCATCCACTAGACAACAAGGTTCCATTGAGAGAGAGAGAATTCTTTCCTGCCACCCAGGCAGCAGTGTCCTACTGAGAGAGGGAGCTGCCCTCTGACTTCATTCACACCCGCTATGGCTTTGTGTGTATATGTATATGAATTTGCAGCCACGATGTTAAAAGGTTGGGGGATCTAATTACGGGTCATTCATTAAGATTCAGATCTCTCTATAATATATGTGCCTGATTGTGATCGCACTTATATATTTTTCTTTATACCACTAATACCATTGATTTCAGAAGACTGACTCTTGATAAGTGCAAGTGAGCTAAGAATTAGCCCCTACTTCTATAATATTTTAACTGGTTTGGAGGATATTATATTAAATTCATAAGGCCCCACCCTCACACTGAGTGGTATGTGAATGTCAGTAGCAGTGGTACTGACTTCTGTGGTATCCCCAACTCAGTAAAATATTTCTGAACTTAAGGGTGATACAAGGGACTGATTCTGATCTTAGTTACATTGATGTGAATCAGTCATTGAAGTCAATGGAGTTCTGCCAGTATAAAACAAAGATACCAGGGTAAGTCACGGTGCCAAATTGGTGTAACATAGTGGAGAATCAGGCCATTATTATAATTCATACCTATTTTTTTATTTTATAAGGCATATATTTAATTTTGAACTGAGATCATTTTCCTTGACTTACTTTGTTGGGAGCTTATATGCTGACAAAAATGTTTTGCAGTTGATACTGTCGTGGGGGGAGATCTGCATAAGATGAACATTATGAAAGTTTTCTCAGCTACTATGCACATTATGCAAGATACTATAGATAAATGAATGCAGATTGATGCAAATATGGTGCCAAGTCTGGAACATGGAAAATCTGACAAATTTGACAAAAATGCTTTCTTTCCCACGTATTAACATGCAGATATGGTGCACAACTACATTTTTATACTTTGAGATGTCTGTTAGTATACTGAAATTGACTTTTATAATATGCAACCAGTATTTGCATTCTGCATGGTGGAATAAAATATTGTAAGTAGAAGTGAATTTCATGAGCCATTCATTCTTTCAGCTGAGCTACAAAACTGGTGTGATTGATGTAGTATTAGCTAATATTTGTGTGTGTGTGTTGTTTTACTAGTCAAACTAATGTTTTACAGAACATTTGACATAGTCGTTTCTTGGCAAAACATTTCATTAACTTTCTCCCACGGAGACTATTATAAATTTACCTTTTAAAATATTGCCTATATAAAATGTACAATACTAAAAAAGTTCACAAGATTCCATCCTCTAAGGTTTAGTAAAAACATATTAGATTATGCCTTCTTAGTGATCACTGTGCCAACACATGAGGTATAATCCATGCTAATCAGATACTAAATCTTTCTTGATGCCAGAATTCATCTCAAAATATGATTTAAAGACTGTCAAAAGTATAATTTGTTTTTGGTGAAAAAATGGCTTGTGTGTTAAATGTAGGAATTGGTAAGAGATTAGACTATACAAATGACTACTTGTGCTGATAAGTGCTTTCTTTGAGGTTATTGTGCAAAAATATATTGATTGTACCTTGTTTATTAAATTATTTAGACTATTTTCCCAGGAAATATTTTTGATGTACAATACATTACGAGATGTCCTTGGAGAAGAAAATAGATTACTACACTTTGATTGTTCCATGTAAAAATGGAAGGAACGCATCAAGAAAACCTCTTAATTTATCTACTTTAAAACAGCTCCCCTCCTCCCACCCCAGTTTCTCGGTTAATGTCTGACAGCTTTTTGTGCTGGTAGTTTGGTTATAAAGCTCCATATAATTGAGTAATGTATGGCTGATATTTTAATGTGTTAAGATAGAAGTTTAAAATATACTAAAAAGTTGACATTACTTAACATTTTGGTTTAATATCTTTATAAGTATTGTAACTGAAGTTTTCTTTGGACAAAATAAGTAGCTTATCGAAATGGTCAGCATACACACATGCAAAAACAGGCATGTAAATTAAAGACAGGATACAGGGTATTGACTCAGAGGACAGTAAGAATAATGTTAAATAAAAGCTTACAGGATAGATTTTTTTTGGCAGACTTCTTCTGTTACAGCCATCCTATGGGCACTTGCTAACTTGCTGCTGAGTGACATTTATGTGCTCTTGTGCTTTTATTTTTGTAAAGTTTTATTTTAACATAATAGTGAGCATATCAGGTGGAGGTTTATATAAATAACGTGCACTTTTCATATCTCAAACATTACCATTTGAGCACTGACTGACTCACCAGAGTAGGTATTCATATTCTTGAACACTTAAAGCAGGTGGTAGTCATGCTCAGTATCTTGTTTAGAAGGCAAGGTGACATATTTAGAAATAAACTACTATCAAATAGTATTAATTTTATCATAGTTTAATTGCACACACAAGGTAGAACAAGTGGAACGTTAGCATGCATATTACAGCAAGAGTTTAGCTGAAACTTGCATGTCTTTCCTCATTTACTCATTGACAGTTGCCTTTATTCCATGGAGAGATTAGAAAGTGCATAAAGTTTTAAAGACAAGTAAATAGACAAACCAGTAAGTGCCGGTCCTGAAGTAGATAAGGGTGATATCCATTATCCATTAATGTAATTAGACTTGGTAATTGATACATCTTCATACCCACAATATTGCTGTCAGGGGAAAGGTCTCCATTTACAGGACCAAATGGTGTGCTCAAGTGAGTACAAAGGTAATGCTTTTCCATTCTGATTTTGTGTTGTACTTTTTTTTCTTTAAGGCAACATATATTTAGTTTTAGAGTTTAGAACCTCATATTTAGTTTTTCAGGGCATTTTGTTTGGTGCAGTACCATATGAAACACTATAAACAGAAAAAATAAACAGCAACAACAAAAACACGTCTTGGCATAAGTATTAAAAATAATAGATTTTATAACTAAATTTTGTATTGGATACACTACTTTTAATAAAGTTTATTTAGATATTATAGCATTATGACACATATCACATTTAACCTTCACTTTGCAACAAATCTCTATATGCCCCCCCCCCCCCCCGAATTACCTTGAAGGTGCCTCTTTCAAGGCTGTTCTTGTCTTATTAATGTGAAGATTCTGTCAGAAATAGTATATTATTTTAGACCCTGAGTTAGCAGTCCATCCCTATTCAGCAAAGCACTTAACCACATGCTTAACTTTAAGCAAATGCGTAAGTCCCATTATCTTCAGTGGGATTTAAACATTTGCCTAAAATTAAGCATATGCATACATGCTTTGCTAAACAGGCATGGATTTAGGCAAGTGCTTTGCTCAATTGGGGCTTGATGACCTCATCTTCAAGGTGCTAACCACTACCTGTGAGGGGGTGAACACCCTTAACTTCCAGCAAAGGCAATAGAAGTTAAGGAAGTTCAGCACATCACAGAAGCAAATCAGCAGCTTGGAGGAGATTGACTCCCTAATCATAATGGTAAACCAGAAGTAATAATTGTCTGATATGCAGTATCGCTTGTAAATTAATCTTTGTAAGTTATATTCCACTTTGCTTTATAATGCAAAATAATAGAGAAACACATGAAAAGACATTTGGGCAGATTTCATCCACTGAAACTTTTAGGCATGCATGTGACATTTTCATGTTAACCTCTGCTAGAGGCTCCTTAGAGGGTTTTCTTTCTTTCTTTCTTCCTTTTTTTTTTTTTTTTTTGTGGTCTGTTGATGTCCACTGGTTTCTCTTTTGCTTGCTATACAAACATGATGTTTGAAAAATGGAATCTTTAAAATATTCTGGATGCCTTTTTCAAAGAAATATATGTCACCTTCATTGTGATTAGAAAGAGCTATGAAAGAATCTGTGAATGTCATTATCTCTTTCCTTGAGATACATTGTTGCCTATCCAATTCTATAATCCTTTATGAATTATCCTCATGCTTTTGCTATTTGGAAAATGTGCTGCTTAGTGAAGAAAACTGTTATCACACCTAAGTGTGATGACAGGCCTACCCAGTCACATCTCGATAACAGTACAATTTGTAGAAATTAATTTTTAAAAAATCTTCTTAGTACGCTATTCAGTTAATTGGTTTACCCAGGTATTGTACATTAACAGTCTCTTGGATTGTGGAAACATTGTATATGGCTGCTTATCATATATGTGAGTTGTAACTATAAATTAAAAGTATCCATTCTGCCATCAGTATGCACATGTAACTCCCGTTGATGTTAATGAGAGGTTATGCCTGGTGCATCAAGGAGCAGTCAATCTTA